GTGTTCTTTCCGGAGGCTCTGGGATGAGAATCCATTGTTTACCTTTTCCAGCTTCTGGAGACTGTCCAAATTCCTTGGCTCACGGCTTCGTCATCCCGACTTCATTTTCACATTGCATCTTCTGCCAATGACTCTTCAGTTTTCCTCCTTCCCTTATGGGGACCTTCGAGGTTACTTTAGACCCATTCTGATAATCCTCGTACCTCCCCATTTCAAAGTCTTTAACTTAATCTCACCTTCAAAGTTGTTTTTGGCCCTGCAGATTCTGAGATGAGGACATACACATCTTGTAGTGCCATTATTCTGTTTACCGGGTGTTCCAAGGTGGCAGCTGGAGTTCCAGCCTTTAAGCCACCCTTCCAGCCAGCAGCAAGAGGAAGGTTGCAGAAGACAGATCTTTTCCAGAAGCCCCACGTAACACACTTACATCTCATTGGCCTCAGGTAGCTGCAGAGTGTTGTGTGGCAATGGACTCGACTAAGAATTACGATTCTGTCATTGCACAGGAAGTCAGATGAGGTGTGGGCTAGCAGTTCAGGGTCCACCACTGTCACTGTCCTCATTTGATAGTGTTGTGGAGGTTCTGGTCAACGGGAAACCACAGAAAACCATGAAGTCATAACTCTCAGAAAGGAACCGTCAAAGGAACCTTATCTAAAGACGGTGTGGACTTTTGTGGGGGAGACACCACCTTAGGAAAAAGTATTACAGGATCTCCTTGGAACTGATCTGTCCCCTGAAAACGTGGATTGAAGGAATTAAAAGAGAAGGAGAATATTGGATAAATCAGTCTGAATGCCAGGAAAGGTCCATGATTCAAATTTTTGGCATAAATATTTTAAAGTTAACCTGGGAGAAAATATAACAATACAATATTTAAAAGTCAAAAACAGAAATGAGCCTTCCTGATCTGAAAATATAAAACGACAATAAGTAAGTTAGCGTGGCACTGGTGCATGGTCAACAGACCCCTGACCAAAATGGGGTATTTGCCCCTGAAACAGGCTGTAAGAGATGATGTGCAGCTATCAGGGACCCCAAGGAGACACCTGAATAGGAACCAAGTAAGATGTACAGACGGGGGCTTTCAAGAACCAAACCAGAGAGAGGAGATCTGGCTGCAGCCTAACTGAGGAACGTGGAATGTCACGTCATACGTCTGAGCCTTGATTTCCTCATCTTGGTAATAGAGATAATCGTGACTCCTGGAAGATAATGAAAGCACTTTAAATAATTAAAAAGGGAGTCAGGGTCTGGGCGAGATTAAGAAGAGCCTGAGACCTTATCACCAGCAGACAGTGGCGTCTTTCCAAAGCCCAATCTGACAATCCTTTCCTTTCAAGTGGAAAATTTAGTCCATTCACCATTATTGTGATTAGTGACCATTCGGGTTCATATCTGACCCTGTGTTTTAAGTTTTCTCTTTCCCTGGCTGTTTTATCAATTTTTTCCTTTGTCTTATCTTGGATTGATCAGCTTTTTCCTTTATTCCTTTGGCTTTTCTACTAGTGTGAAATTATACATTCTGATTCCTTCTTTGGTGACTCCCCTTAAATTTTTAACTGACCTGATTTAATAAAGGCTAAGGTTAATCAGGGGTTCTCTTCCATCCAAAGCATAAAAAGACATCATTAAATCATTATCACTGATCAGCGTTCTAATTTTAAACTTCCTCAAATCATTTTTATGATTATTTTCTCTAGTGGATATTTACATAAGTTGATTCATGTTTCCCTATTTGTTTGATCAAGGTTCCTTGGAACGAGTCATTCCTTCCTCCTGGCCTGGTTCGTCTGTAAGCAGCCCTCATTCTTGAACTGATGCATGTGCCGGAGGAGCACAATAAAGTGTAATTAAATGATCTATCTATAATTCTATAAAACATTGCTGTGATGGAGAGTTCATGTTCATTTGAAGGTGATTTATTTTTCTCTCTGAGCTTTTAAGATCTTCTCTTCTGCTTTAGGGGTTGTGAGGTTTCTCTACGGTGGGTCTGACTGTGGGGCCATTTCTGCCCTGCCCAAGACTTTGCTTCTTCAGCACGTCGTGTACCTCTCCTCTAAGACGGAACATTCTCCGCCTCTGCCTTCCCAATAGTGCCTTTCCCCTTCGCTGTATCCTCTCCTTCCCACCCCATCCCAGGCCTCTGATCTTTCCTTTGTACTCTGCATCTCTAGCTTTTCCTCCTCTTTAACCTCATCAGAGGGCAAAGTTCATATCCTATCAATCAGGCAGAGAAGGGCATCCCCAGTGGCCAGTTTCCTGAGTCGCCACCACCACGCCAGGAGACTGGGCTTGTGGGGCTGAGCAGGGGCCTCAGGAAGTGGCAGCCACACTGGAGGCCAGAGGAGAGGGCCTGTTTCTCTGGAGGCTTGGCAGAGGCCACCTGAGTCCCATTTCCTCCTACTTTAGTAAAAACACCCGGAGCCCATTTTCTGTGGCCTCGAGTGAAGCGCAGGCCAGGCTGCAGCCTTGCCCACTGCCACTGATGTCCCCCCACCTGGGGCCCCTCTGCACAGGAGCCGTTAAGACCCCACATCTGGGCCCTGCACATCTACCAAGAAGCCGTCCTGTTTCCCTCGGGCGTTTGGGGTGGGGTTGGACTTGGGTACCCCCTCAGGCCACTCAGTCTGCTCACATCCTTCTCCCATTGCTGAGACCCCCGTGGGGACCACCCAAGGCCGTCCTGAGGGGTGGCCATGGAGATCTGTGTGCAGCAGCCCTGACAGAGTCCTCCTAGCAGAACCGTGAAGCCACCTTGCAGGGACCAGTTAGGTCTTGTGTCACCTGGAGGTCAGCGGAGGTTACATCCTCAAGCCACAAGTCCCTGCCAGGCTGCAGACACAAACAGAAACGCATTTCACCTGGAAACCCCATCTCATAAGTAAATAATAATACTATGGAGTATTTCCCATCCCCTGGGCTTCATGCTAAGAGTACGTAAGGAGGCTGCCCTGGTGTGCTCCTGAGGAAAGCTCAGAGAGGCCGGGAGCCTGCCCAAGTTACACAGCAGGTCAGTGGTAGAGTTGCCTAGCCACCCGAGGAGCTGTCCTGAGGACACCAAGCGGAGAGGGGGAAGGGGGGGTACGGCGGTGGGGGGAGGGTTCTGGCGATGGCAGATGGCAGAGCGGAACTCAAACCCAGGTCTCTGATCAGCTCCCTGTGTTTAGTGGGTGAGGAGCTGGAAGGAGTTGCTGATGTAACACTCCTGTAACCTGATCCTCCCCAGGGGCTGAAAGTCAGGCGGCTCTCCACAGCCCTCCCGGCCTGAGGAGTTTGTTAAATAACAGCTCCCTCTAGTGCACCCAAAACAACGGGATGGGTACTAAAGAGGGGAAGAGAGCGACAGCCAGCATGGGGAGCCTGGGGGTGGGAGAGGGAAAGGAGAAGGAGGAAAGGAAGAGAAGAGAGAGGACAGTCCCCTGTCTAGGGACTGGGACTGGGAGACCTACTGTGGCCATCCCTGGTGTTAGTGCAGACAGGAGCCAGCATTCGCTGGGGACCTTGGGCACAAATATTCCATGGGAGGCAGGTGGATCTAAACCCCTCTGGGAAATCTGAAGGCCAGGCCAGCTTCAGCGTCTACTCCAAGGGTCTGTGGAGCCGTGCAGGGACCTGGGCCTCCTTGTACCAGGTAGACCAGTTGCCTTCAATCGCCTTCACTTCTCAGATTAGTGGAGCTGGGCTGAGCTCACGGGCTGCCCAGGTGCCCTTCCAGAGGCCTTGGCACCTGATTTCAGAAAGCCTGCTCCCTTGAGCCTTGGGATCTCGTGTCCGTCCCCACCCTTCCCACTTAACCAGAACCTGTAACCCACCCCAAACTGTAATCAGTAACAGAGTTGGGTTTGTGGACTCCACCCTATCATCCTGGTCTGCTCAGTCTTTTCTGATTCTCTCCCAAGCCCTCTTTAAGGAAAGTTCACATTTACTGAGAGAGGCACTTCGGCAGTAATCTTCCTTTGGATTTCCAAAACACTCGTGGTTTAACTTCTAGTTTGTGGAAAATGCAGGAATTAGAGAAATGCTAAGTTATATTATAAAAACACAAACTGATAGAGTGCAAAAACTCTAAAGCACAAATGACCTGGTTTCTTCTACCGACAGATTGCAAGATAAAAAATGAGGGAGGGATAACATGGATTAGAAGACATTGAGAGCCATGTTGTCTGAGGCTGCACTGCTATAACAAAATGCCCAAGGCTGGGAAATTAATAAACCATAGATAGTTATTTTCTTGCAGTTCTGGAGGCTGGAAAGTCCAGAGTGAAGGCACTTATAGGCTGGGGGTCTGGTGAGAGCCCATCTCTCGGCTTCCAAGGTGGAACCTTGTTGTGGTATGCTCTGGAGGAGGGGGGGGGACTGTGGCCTCACTTGGCAGAGCAGAGGGCCAAAGGGACACAGGCTAGTTTCTTCCGCTCTTTTATAAAGTCACTGATTCCATCCATGAGGGCTTTGTCCTCATGACGCAACCACCCCCTGAAGTTCCCTATCACACTGAAGATTATGTTTCAACACATGGAATTTGACTGGGCGTGGTGGCCCATGCCTGTAATCCCAGGGGCTCAGGAGGCTAAGGTAGGAGGACTGTGAGTTCAGAGCCAGCCTCAGCAATTTAGCAAGACCCTAAACAACTCAGTGAGACCCTGTCTTTAAATAAAATATAAAGAAGGGCGGAGGATGTGGCTCAGTGCTCCTGAGTTCAATCTTCAGTACCAAAAAAAAAAAAAAAAAAAAAAAAAAAAAAAAAGAAAGAAAGAAAAAGAAAGAAAGAAAAAAGGAAAAAAAACCTGAAGAGTTTACAGAGGAAAGTGAATGATGTCTAAAGTTTATTCCATACTAATCTGGGAGGGGGGTGTAGGTTTAGGGGTGGGGATAAGGCCAGAAGTCACAGCCATCACCTGAGAACTCATTGTTCTATTTGCACTAACTTCACATATTTAAATTTTCCCTCATTAGAAAAAATTAAGACAGAAAAAAGAATGTGAAGTAAGAGTCAGAACCTGAATACTAAAGTTTATTTTTCTTATTTTTTTCCTTTTTAAGACTACACAAAAGAGTATAAAAATCTTCATAGTAAATAGCAATCCTAAGTGACAAAGAGAACGCGGTGTCCTGGTGGCCCGGCTGTTCTTTCCCGGCTGGTGGCTTTGTCAGCATTTTCCGTCTTTCCAGGAGAGCGACCAAGCTCTGCCACACCAAGGGGCTTGCTTTTCCAGGTTAAATAAGTGATGTCCAGCCTGCGTCTGCCGCTGCTTGGGCAGCTGAGACCCCCACCTGTCTCCTGCAGTCCCCCTTTTCCAGGACACAGACCAGGCCTTGGCCACCAGGACCCGCCTGCAGCCGACATTGATCAACAGCAACCTTGGGGGCCGCTGGCCACGTTGACACGCAGCAGGTGGCCTCTTGGAAACAGAGCCGGGGCTGGCGGAGGGTCAGATCCTGCAGGAAACACGGAACCCAAACAGGAATCACTCGTCTGTACTCCCTGGAGTTTGGAAGGACAGACGGGGTGTCCTTGGTCACAGAACACAACTGTGCTATTTCAACACTCTGGCCAAGAGGCCCATCTGAGGAGACAGAGCCAGGGCAGCAGCGCGGCTAGGGGAGGTCAGCTCTGAGTCCTAAAGTGCTGGGATAAATCTAGGAGCAAAAGAGGGACAGAGGACATCCCCAGGCAGTGCCAAAAGGGGATAGAGAGAAAGAATTCATTCCCATCAGGAGAAGTGTTCACCTTTGCCAGAAATCAAAGAAGTGCAAATAACGAGAAGATACAATTTGGTGTCTTTCAGGCTGGCAAAGGTTTTAAGAATGTATAATATCCCAGATTAAAAGTGATTCAAGAGACTTGCCAGCTAAGTGCCGTGTGTGAGCCTGCATTTGGATCCTGGATGCGGGGAAACTGTGGAGGACGTTATTGGAACACTTGGTAAAATACTGAATATGGATTGCAAAATTGTGGTGTTGTATCAGGGTGAATTTACTGATTTTTACTTATTTGTCATTGTACGTGGTTATGTAAGAGGTCGTTAGGAAAAGCCACATCGACATACCTAATGTATGATCCAGCAGCCTACTCAGGCTCAGAAAGAAAAACTGTGAAGGAGGGAGGAGGTGGAGGAGGAGCCCGAGAAGGAGAACAGGTGGGGAGTTCTCGGCACTCTTCTTGCAAGCTTTCTGCAAATTTAAAATCATATAAAAATGTTTTTTAAAAAGAAAAAAGTTCACGATGCTCAGTGCTG